ACTTACGTTTTCACTAACTAACGAACTAGTAATTCCGTCAATCTCTGTCAACTTTCCATCCAAAATTGCCATGTCACCTTACCACATCATCACAATATATATTAAAATAATTACATGTTTAAAATCATCCAAAACCGAACCCAACCACCCTAAAACCAACCAACCTGACAAAACTAGATCTGATTTCTCATCCATATCCAAAACCGAACCCAGCCCCTCTATCGCCGTCGCAATCAGCTCTGCTCTACGCCGATGGGGAGCGATTGCTAGCCGCCCTACCCAAAATCAGCTCCATCGTCGTTACCCTCTACCGCCCAGTCCAGATTGCCGCCCACCGTGGAGACTTTTCTCCAGGTCACTGCAATCGCCGCCGAGAAGCGCGGCTGTGAGGCGAGCAGTCCTAGCAAGGATCCGGTGAGGCCCTGTGCAGCAATATTCAGACTCGTGGCCCGTCCCTATTACCGCCATCGTCTGGATCTCCGTTGTAAGATCTGTCTCCTCCGCGCCTCCTGCATATTTAGCCACCTCCACCGGTCACTGGTTGTAGCTCCAATCAAAGCTGTTGCTGTGTCGCTCGCCGCTGTCTCCCCGACGCCATCGCCTCACCATCAATCATCGACTCACTATTTAGTCGCAGCGTGAACAGGAGAGGAGAAGGGGTTAAGTGTCGATTGTGCTCCCCTTTGTATTTGTGGGGTTCCTAGGCTTTGCCTCTCTTTTCATTTACGAAGCAAAAAGGGAGAGCGAGAGAGCGAGTGTGGGCTGGGGGCCTTTGTTATAGGTTGGTTAGTTTTTATTGGTTTGGAAAATTTAGATTGGTTGGGTTCAGTTTTGGTCTTTTGGATGATTTTAAACATGTAATTATTTTAATATATATTGTGATGATGTGGTAAGGTGACATGGCAATTTTGGATGGAAAGTTGATAGAGATTGACGGAATTACTAGTTCGTTAGTTAGTAAAAACGTAGGTGACTGATTTGTTAAATTTGAAATGTAAGTGACCAATTTGTTAGTTACTACAAACGTAAGTGACCTTTTATGCTATTGACCCGACATACAACTGCAGAATACCTTCCATGTTCCTAGATTAGTTCTGAATTTAGTTTCTGTGGGGCAACTAACTGAGTAAGGTTATTCGGTGATGTTTGCTCCGTCTGGATGTGTTGTACAGGACATGAAGACGGGGAGGCCGATCGGAAGGGGGAGTAAGAAAGGACGATTGTTTCATTTGGAAGAATTATATGGGAAACCAGTTTCGTCGGTCGTCGGTAGTTCCTTCTATAGTTCATCCTCTGTGTTTTCTTGTTCTGCGAATAATATATGGGATCTATGGCATTCTCGGCTTGTTCCAGCTGTGTTGAAGCTAAAAATATGACTATTTCCTTTCCTTCTAGTCATACTGTCATTATTGAACCTTTTCATATTGTTCATACTGATTTATGGGGTCCGACGACTGTTCTTAGTAGACATGGGTTTCGATACTTTGCTCTTTTCATTGACCATGCTACTCGTTTTACTTAGGTCTATTACTTCGTCTAAAATCTGAGCTAAAAGTTGTTGCCATTGAATTTCTCAACATGATTCAGACTCAATTTGGTAAAAATGTCAAAATTATCCGATATGATCCTGGTGGGGAATTAAGTTCTTTTCCTCTTCATGATGAGTATCGTTCTCGAGGTATTTTGAGTAAAAAATCCTGTCCTGGTGATTCTCAGCAAAACGGTCTAGTTGAGCGTAAAAATAGACATCATGGAGTTAACTAGAGCTCTACTTCTCGAGTCACAGGTTCCTGGTCGTTTTTGGCCTGAAGCTGCCGCTACAGCAGTGAGACTGATTAACTACCAGATCACCCCTGTTCTCGGTCAGTCCAGTCCTTACTATGCTCTCTATTCCTGTCATCCTGATTACTCTCGTCTTCGTGTGTTTGTGTGTGTATGCTTTGTTTTACTTCCTAAGCGGGAACGAACAAAGCTTACTTCTAAAACTGCGAAATGTGCTTTTCTCGGCTATAGTAATGTTCATAAGGAGTACCTATGTTTTGATCCGGAGACTCAACGTATTCGTATTGCTGCCACAGTAGTCTTTTTTGAAAATCTCAAATTCTTCGAGTCGTGTCCTCCATCCGAGAGTCTGTTCCCAGGTCCTGTTCGGCTACCCATGTTTCCAATTGATGACGAGTCACTAGCTGATGAGCAGCAACCCCTTAATGATGATCAGCCTCCCACACTCCGCTCGCCTGCCACTTCTGCTTCATCTACTTCAACTGACACCTCGCCCACGACTACTTAAGCATCCACTTCATCTTCCTCATTGGCATCACCTCCTCCTGATCCTCCTGTGCAGCTTCGATGGTCTTTTTCATGCAATACAAGGAATTCCACCTCTTAAGTTTCATGACTACCTGGCCCATGGGGTGGATTCCTTAATTGTACCTACCCGGTTCTTGCAAGCTCACGACAATCCTATGTGGGATCAGGCAACGCAAACAGAGTTCGACGCTATGCATGCTAAGCATACCTGGGATGTTGTCGACCGACCATCTCCTGATACTCCTACTGTCGGCAGTCGGTGGGTTTACATCATAAAGATGCTTCCTGACGGCTCCATTAAAAGGTATCGGGCACACGTCATAGCTTTGGGATACACACAGAAGCAGGAGGTGAATTATGGGGAAACCTTTGCTCATGTGGCAAAGATGTCTACAGTTCGGGTGTTGCTTGTTGTAGCATCACAGCAAGATTGGCCTCTTTTCCAGCTCGACATTAAGAATGAGTTCTTACACAGTGATCTTGAAGAAGTTATTTACATGGAACGGCCATCAGGATATAATGTGGGTACACCAGGTCAAGTGTGTCGTCTGAATCGCTCCCTATACGGTTTAAAGCAGGCTCCGAGAGCGTGGTTTGACAAATTCCAGGCTACCTTATTTGGCTTTGTCTATCAATAGAGTTTGAATGATCCTTCATTATTCACCAAGTCTTCCTCCCGAGGTATTGTGATCTTATTATTATACATGGATGATATGGTTATTACAGGCTCCGACGTAGAGGGGATTCAGAAACTAAAAGATGGACTTTAGGCTTCGTTTAGAATAAAAGATATGGGGAAGCTATCCTATTTTCTTGGACTAGAGGTGTATCAAAATTCAAAAGGTATACTTCTAAGCCAAAGGAAATACATAGCCGATCTATTGGGTGTTCACGGTTTTGAAGACTGCAAGCCAGTTTCTACACCAATGGAGGCAAATCTTAAGCTACATCGAGAGTCTGGTGAGAAGTTGAAGGATGGATCATAGTATCGGAGCATTGTTGGAAGCTTAATCTATTTCTCAGCCACTCGTCCAGATATATCGTATGCAGTTCAGTTGGTCAGTCAGTTTATGAATTATGACTAATCCTTGTGTAGACCATTTGGCTGCAGTGCATCGAATACTCATATACTTGCAAGGAACACGTGAAGTCGACATTCTGTTTCCGTCTACAGGTGATACTAAGCTGCAAGCCTTCTCTGATTCTGACTATGCAGGCTGCGTGGATACTAGACGGTCAACCACTGGATGGTGCGTTCAGTTTGGAGACTCGTATGTTTCTTGGCGGTGTAAGAAGCAAGATAAGGTGTCCAAATCATCTGCAGAGGCTGAATACCGTGCAATGTCTTATGTCACTTCTGAATTGGTTTGGGTTTGAAGACTGTTAGCCGCTCTTGGGGTTACTTGCCCGTTACCTATGGAGTTGATGGTAGATAACACAAGCGACATCCGTATTGCTGTAAATCCAGTGATGCATGACCGCACAAAGCACATAGAGATCCATGTACATACGTTCGAGATATGGTTTGAGATGGAACGATTACAGTGCACTACATACGTACAGAAGATCAAGTTGTTGATTTGCTCACGAAAACCTTCTCCACCAGTCGGCATTGGTTCCTATCTAGCAAATTGATGCTGTCAGACACGCATCAATTTGGAAGAGGGTTTTAGATTATATCATTCCGTATGTATTGTGAATGTATATTGGTAGTGTACTAAAGCCCAAAACGCGAACAGGCCTATGCAGCCCATACGAGCTAGGAGTGACGTGAGGTAACCTAGTCTCTAGGGTTCAGCTGTATATATATAGAGTGGTGTGCAGATGCTGTGATCATTAGTTTCTATTAGTCGATCATCAGTAAAATCAGTAGCTGTGAAGCTTTGACGCTTCACCATGAATTAGTCCGGGATATTCCAAGAATACCACGTATATCGGTTGTCTTTCTCGTTTACTCAATTCAGTTTCTGTTGAATCATCATCAACAACCACTCTATGCATTGACTTGCCGGATAAACTATGGGAGAAGCCGGAAAGAACACTCTGTTCTAGGTGAGGCATCCCCGTCTTCAAAGAAAAAAACCGCATCCAAGCCGATTCACTACGAAAAACTGCTGCATCTCCGGATCATTGCGATCTGGTGGAGACCCAAAGAAAAATAAATTTTAAAAGATCTATAACTTGGTAAGGAAGTAGATATGTATCAGGACAAAAACAGAGCAGGAAAAGACTTCATTTCATTGGCACGCAGAAAAGACTCTTTCTTTTTCCATAAGGGACTTCATTTCATTGTCTGCAGAAAAGACTCTTTCTTTAAATTCTTTCCATGATTATATTCCCTGCCTGTCGCCTACTCGCCTTCCACTTTTTTTTTATGAAAAGTTCCTCCTTCCTTCTCCTTGCTTAACAAGTTGTCTAGCCTTTACTTCAGTCTTCGCCATATAATAAGACAACACTCCGCCTTCGCCATCCACCCACCTGAACTCACCAACACGGACTCCCCCAAACAGTCCGAGAGGAACGAAGTGAAGGGATTCGGGTTCCATACTCAAAGCTCAGATATCCGCTAATTAATAAGTAATCCAAGGTAACCACCACCCACATTGCCCTATATTTTTTATTTTATTTATGTGAAATCAATAATCATCAGCGAATGCTTCCTTGTGGATGGAGAACAGAGCTGAGCAGCAATGTCGTCGTCTTCGCGGTTTGTGGTGAATTCAAACTCATTCTTCCTCAGCGGCACCGGCGACGGAGTCGTCGCAGTAGTGGACACTGTGACTGATCTGAATTCCCCCTCCTACGCCTCCGGCGACTGGAAAATCATCGCTGCGGCAATAGGAACTATAACTACAACCACAATCAGCAGCGCCACCATCCCGGCCGGGACGAAACTGTACAGGGGGTTGGAAATATTCGGGGCCATAATCGAAGGCAGCAGCCTGGACAAATTGTGCAAAGACCTCTTCAATTCCCAGCTCTTAGTAAACCGGGACGGCTACCAGATCAAATACTACGACAAAATCACAACAGGTGGTGGATTCGTGACTGGAAGCAGCTACATGGTGAAGCTAAACAACATGCTCGGGTGGGAGAAGTACGGAGTGAAGCGACCAGCCACTGCCCCGATCACCGCCGTGTGGAACCGTTATGACGTGGCGAAAGGGGAGGTGGTGGTGGATTACGTGGCGGCGGAGGAAAGGCGGAGAGAGATGGATGCGGAATTGGGGAAACAGAGGAGGGAGTTGGGGCAGTTGCAGTTGAGGTTGGTGGAAAAGGAGGAGATTTTGGGGCATTATCAGCGGATTCTGGAGGAGAGTAAGGAGCTTTTGAGGGAGAAGGAGAGCGCGAAACAGCGGCTGAGGGAAGTGATTGAAGAGAAGAACAGAGTGGTTGAAGAGCAGAGCAGAGTTATCAAGGAGAAGGAAATGGAGATACAGAGGTTGAAGTTGAACAAGGGAGAAGGTGAGAAAGAGGCTGCTGGTGTAGGGGATGATGGTGAGTTGAAGAAGGCAGGGGAGGGTTTTGGGATGAAGGAGAAAGTGGTGGGGGATGATGGTGATGAATTCAAGGCACCCATGGATTCGTTCTTGAGCTGTTGTGCGAAGGATTTGAAGGTGGCAATCATAGCTACGAACAGGGCTTTCTTTGTCAATGTAGTTCTGTCTTTATTTCTAGCATGCTTATGTTTCTTCCGCCTTTTTGGTTGATTGATTTTAAGTACTAAACACGTTTGTATTGTGCCTAAGCTGGTAGTTTGCTTTTGGTGTTAAGAAGGTTTTAGTTGTGCTCTTGCCTATGACAAATTAGTTGGTTTCATTTTGGGTGCCGCATGCATACTATAGTCCAGTTGTTTATACTGCAATTGCTTTTTTGAAAATGGATAGGACTTGGCAGTTGGCATGAATTGAGTTTTGGATTGAGTATTGAGGGGTGGTTTGGGGAGAGGATTGCTAAAAGTGATAGATTGGTAGGAGTAGGTAGCTCATGAATTGGATTTCAGTCATGAATTTTGAAAATGTTAGGATAATAGTTGTAAGAAGTAAATTGTATGCCATTGATTGTGATTAGTCTTACAATTTAGATTTTCTAATGAATGTGAGTGATGGATTTAGAAAATGTTATTGTTTAGAGCACACATTTTAGCACGTAAATTATGCGTAGTTGATTGTCGTCACTTTTATGCTAAAGTTTCAATTTGTCTTCAAGGTTAATATAGAGTATTGTCCCAAAAGGCCCAAGTTACTACTCCAAATCTCAAAATACTACACTACAACTCTACTAAACAATTTTACCAAAATATCTAAGGCTGGCCAAAAGCGGTATTTTTGTGAGAGTTTTCCTAACAAAAACCATGCGTAGAAATTGATAGGTGTTGACAGTGATACTTTGCTAGAGGAAGCGATCGAAACATTGAGAAACTAAGCGTGTTCAGTAAAAAGCTGGAAGAACTAGTGCTTTGAATTTAAAAAATGTAATGCATTGGCGAGTAGCGAATCATTCATTTATTTCCACGCGAATTGCTATTCGCAGTAGTATTTTATAATGAGTGACACAAACTGTTTAACTAGGAAGCAATTTGCGCATTGTGTTCTAGTTGGTCCATTCAATTGGTTGCAGATTGCTACCCGTCGAGTAAAATTTGTGTCATGTGTCGTCGATCGGATGGGCATGAAGCATTTTACGCATATCGCTACCTCGTATTGCGCTTTTTCCGACCCCCATAAACCTATAAAAAAACTCGTCCCTCATTCGTTAGAAACTCACGCCATTCTTCACTCTTCTCTCTCTCTCACACACACTCTCTCTCTTCCTTCCACTATTCAAGGAACTCTTAGTATGCTTTGTAGTTGCAACTAAGCATGAACTTTGGTCACTCCTTCAACATAATGGTTTTTTAATCAAACAAAATTTCATTACAATAATATGATTTCTCAATGAGAATCATCTTGGATGCTAGACGAACAATGTCTTAATAGAAAGCCATGAATCTCAATGAAAATCATTGATTGTTCATTACAAAATTCCCTTGCACTTGATCCTGATGCTCTCTAGGGATTATTGTTGTACATAAACAGAGGAATTGAGTGTTAAAATTGATACACTTCAACTTAGTAGAGTGAGTGAGTTTGGATGGATCACAATCAATGTAGTTAAAATCGCGCTTTAAAACTTAAAAACTTACGGTTTTACGCTTCTAGGTCACCAAAACGCTTTCGTTTCTATGTAAAAACTTTAGTGTATAAAATCAAACTAAATTGCGCTTTAAAATTTAAAAACTTACACCTTTACGCTTCTAGTTCACTAAAACGTTTTATGTTTTTACGCTTTTACTTCACTGAATGGGTATTCTTTTCATGAAATTAATTATAAAAAGTATATTTTAAAAATAAATCACCAACAATATGATATATTTAAGATTAAAAGATACATACCAGATACTTTGATGCATTCTGAACTTCAATAATGTAATCTAATTAACCGTCTAGGCTCTTCTCAAATTCATTAGCACGGAGGGAAATGTGGCTTCTTGATCAGATTTATGTTTATGAACTTATTATTAATATGCTATAAGTTGCTCTACTTTAAACATGAATTGCAAGTATTTATTAACTTATCTAAATTTTGTGCACTCATATTTTTCATAGTATATGTCGTACTTAATATATTTTTAGTTCTTTTAAAGTATGCGGCAAAAACTTACGCTTTTACGCTTTAATTCTACGTTTTACGATTTTACCCCTTTTCCGCTTCTAGGTAGAATCACGCTTTTGACGACATTGATCATAATGTAACAATTACCCATGATCTTACATATTTTTAAGTTTGATTCGGAAGGTTAACTTACGAATTATGTCCATGCTAGCTCTTATTAGTTTCTCAAAAGAAATAGGATCAACCATTTCGTTACAAACTTACAATTTTTTTTTTATAGAAATTCCTGGAATATTATTAATGGGCTAGAGCCTCATGGTTTAGCAAATGTAACAGGAAAAAGGGTGGGCTATCAACCCATATTTCATGGACCTCCCAATTACACATAGTACTAGTATCAATACTCGTGGCTACGCCACAGGAGATTTAGCTATGTTTAGCATATTTAAAAGCGTACAAAATAATTAGATATTATATACAGAAGCAAATACCCTATGTTTCATTAAAAATCTTAGGCATTCTTATCATGCAAGACAAACTTACTAAGCCCCTATAGTACAGCAAGTTTCAATATTCTATATAATTCAGCAAGCACACCTTACAAATAACTAATTAGAAATGGCAATTCAGATGATCAACTAAATTCGTCGTTGTAAAGATAATAAATTCCAGTCATTGCCTATCAAACATAAAGCGATCCAGAATGTGAGATCCGTGAACCTATAGCTTAATGGGGACGCCAGATTCTGTGCTCAAGTTAGCGCCTTTCTTATTGATGTTGATCCTCAATGTATCAAGAAAAATTGTTCACCACAGCAGCACGAACAACCGGAAAGTTGATGGAAATAACAAATAGCTGATTTTGCGGATACTCTTATTTTACCTTCTAAGCAAGGCATCTGCAATCACTTAAAGACGGGGAAATGAAATAAAAATCTGCATGATACTGGATACAAAACATAGAGAAAATTAGCAACCCGGTTCCGTATCTAGCAGACGTCAAATCACAATGTGCAGTAAGTTCCAGTTTCAAGTGCCACACTTGAGTGGTCAGTAAACATTTTGACCCTCTGAATAGAGAGCAAATAACAGTGTTTTGCTTATAAGACCAAGCTCACAGCTTATTGAAATGACATAAATAAGCAGCTCAACCAAAATGAGCTTAAGATTCCTAGGAAAGGGAATGCAAACCAATTAAGAATGTCTAATAGGAAGGCATCCATAAAAATAAAACTCTTGAAAAAATCCTTGGACTAACATCCTTAAGAAAGATACATGGTACAGCGATAAGGGAAATGAGTTCAATTCATGTTTCAATAAATGGAAACTGCCATCTCACTAAAGAAATGCTTACCCCAGTCAGGCTCTTGGCACAACTCCATAATAGTTCTGTTTATGTTCTTTGTTCATGCTGCAATTGTATTTGAGCCAATGCAAAGCACAGAGTTGCTTTTGCTTGAATGCTCTTATTCTTTTTATCATGTTGCTCTTCTCTTCTCTTCTCCTCTCCTCTCTCTTCCTTCCTCTCCTGTCTTTAGAGTTTTCCTTTCTCTTTACCTCTCTGTTGTCCTTCTTGCAGTGTGGTTCACCTACATTAAATCAGAGGAGTCATGTGGTATGGAATGGAATTGAACTGAAACCTAGCCTTAACAGAGCAAGCGTGGAAAAGGGGAAAGACCTCGCATGAGAAGCAGAAGGAAAAGCAAAAAATGGTAACAAAAGTTGAAGACCTAAAGGTAATGTATATTGATGAAGAGCAACATGTACAACAACCAAGAATGGCTGAAGTTATCTGTGGCAAAGCAGAAGCTTGTCATTTTTGTCCGAGATAAAGCAACATGAGAAAACAGTAAAAGAAATACATGAGCCAAGTTGAGAAAAGTAACGGAAACACAAAACCTGTAAAACAACAGGATTGCCTCTGAATTCAGGAAAGTATTGTTTAGCTTGTTAAGTTTGGATCGATCTATGCTTCAATTCTACCTCATCATAATTGGCCTGCCATTTTGCACATAGTACTGGAATTCCAAAAGTATCGATAGTATCAACAGATAATAATAGAGTGGCAATAAACCAAGACACACTAATAAAAGGGTACAACAAGTGGGGTGAACGAAACTGATGCATTCAGTTGACTGCAGTTTTTAAATGGAATGGATAGTGAGCTTTATCCTGTCATCAGCAGGTAAGTTCAAAGATAAACCATTAGTTCTCTTTGATGATTGAAGATTTGAAGTGTGTAAAACAGAAAACCATCATCATGATCCGTAATAATTCACAAATGAACAACACGAAAGTCTACCTGTTCACTGTTCAGTACCGAAGTTTGGGACTTGTTGAGCAACATTCTGCAAGCATCTCTTGTGGTGAAAGAATGGAAGCTTCCAATTCTGGCGCAATTGTATTGGAAATATGTATATTGGCATCCTGCAAATTTGAAATGCATCCATTGAGATCCAAAATGGCAAACCTTAAAAGTCTTTAAGAAAAACACAACCAAGTATTGCTTCTACCCCTTTCCTTTTTACATCCGCATTCTGTTTAGCAATCGAACCCTTTTTTGCTTGACAAATTATCTCATTTCCTTGCCAGATAATTTCTGCTGGTTCTTCTAGGTTCAAGCAAGTACCTCCAATTACTATCCTCATCACATCCATCTTCAATTGGAGTCTGCCAGAGGTGTAGAAGCATTCAAGTGAGGAACCAAGAAGGAAAACGAAAATGTTACCATTTCTCTAGCCTTCCCCAAACTTTCTCAGCAACCAACATGACATTGCAAAACCAAAAGGTCACCATTTGGAATGAACCCAAAGCACAAAAAGTAAGAGAAGAGACGAAAGTTACCTGAAATCTTCTCTTAGCTTCATGCACCTCTTCTTCTTCAACTTCTCTTCTTGCAGCTTCCTCGTCTACTCCATCTTCTCCAACAACTTCTCCTCCCTCTTTTCGAACTGCTTTCTCTTTCTTTTCATTCTCAACCTCTCTTCTTCCACCATCTCCTAATTCATAACATTTATGCTCCTCTGGATCATTCATCCCTTTCACTTCCTCCTCT